AGCCTACGTAACTGACTGAACTAATGTTTTTATGTTGAAGATTTATGACCATTTTAAGATGTATATTTGACTGATGAAATCCTCTGTCAGTTTGAGTACAGCACAGCACAATACCTTTCTATGAAATTGCTGAACTTGTCAGCCATCTATAGTGGATAGGTTTGCTCAACCTTTCTATTGTAAAATACTGTAAATAATTGCTGATTTGCTGTCCACTGCACGGGTGTAGAAACTGAGAGTTCAACTATTAACTGGTTAAGATTGGGGTCCTTATGTGGAGTGTTCTAACTGGATTGTTTAATAAGGAAAAGTGAAGCCAGTCATGTTGGCTTAGCTCCAATGCGATCTACTTTCCGATAGAAGTTTGTACAAGTCATTGCGTTGTGCATGATGCAGTTCCAGTTACAATAAGACGTTTTGCTTCCCCCCACTTTCTTCATTAAGTTTTAAGAATTAGGTGAAAGGCATTTGGAAAATTGGATAAAATGGAGGTTTTTGTTGAAAAAAACAGTTCTTCACGGGCCAAGAGCAAAATATCCGCACCCCATCTAGGAGTCATGGTCTAAATCTGACTAGCCATTGGGGGAAATTTTAGTTTCTCGAAAAGTGTGTTGATTATGAGGCATTCCTTTTTTAAAAAAAATCCAAATTCTGATCAATTCAGAGATTGTTTTCATCCAGTCTGTGTTTTATTTTTCAGTTTGTTTGTTTATTGCAACAAAGTTGTTGAAATGTGACGCAGTTATACATCTTTGTCAAGGCTGGCAGGAGATGTAAAATCAGTCTAATCCAAATTAAAGCCTGAGAGTGTGTGAGTTGCACATGTACTCGGTAAATTACTGCCGCAGTTATATGACAGGCGATGCGGTACTTGTAGTGGAGCTGCATGTGACCTGACAGCCCTAGTTTGCAACAGATGAAGTTTGACAGATGAAAGCTTGGTTGGTAATACTAATCTTTGCAAAACCTGCAGTGGTTGCGTGGTAAGCATAAAATTGAGCCTGAATCCACCAAGATCAATAAAGTGAACTTTGGTTGTTGAGACTAGAGAAGATGCCTTGCAAACTGAAGTGCCAAACAAAATCCATTTAATATGTGCTGTTTCAGTGTAGGTTAGTCTCAAAGATCACACAGCTATTCAATAATTTTCTACTTTAAATTGTTGCATCTTCCTGTCTGGCTTGCGGACCAATTGAAGATGGAAACAATTCCTGCTAAAAACACAATACCTCTTGTTGAATCTAATAACTATAAACATTCTTTTCCTTTTAAAAATTGTTGTACTTTGAGCACCTCAAAAGAATAATTTGATTTCTGTTGCACATTGGCAAAAAAAAAACTTTTGAGTGGTTCATTGCTTCATTCATATATAAGGAGAAGAAGATCCAGTCTTTTGCTAGGACAATTTTTGCCTCTCCTGGCACAGCTCAAGAATATTTCTGGCACAGTTTAAAGTATAACAATAAATAATAATCCTTGTATTTGATGTAGCGCCTTTCAGGTCAAGAGGCCATCTCAAAGTGCTTCACAAGATTGAACTGTAAACTGTATTTTGTAAGCAAATGCACTCGCCAATTTGCACACAGTAGTATTACAGAGCCAGCCATGAAGGGAATGGCCAATTTTGTCCAGGGGTCTTGTCGGCCAGGATACCAGGAGAAAATCCCTTCACTTTTCAGGGCTCTCTCTGCCTCCTTGTCTTCCTGGACCTCACTGCTGCGTTCAACACAATCGATCACGCCATCCTCCTCCACCGCCTTTTCTGCGTCATCCACCTCAATGTGACCGCACTTGCCTGGTTCGAGTCCTACCTCGGCTTCTCCTCCCACTTTCACCCAGTCACCTGCGGGGTACCTCAAGGATCCATCCTGGCCCCCTCCTCTTTCTGATCTACATGCTCCCTCTTGGGGATGTCATCTGCAGACATGGAATACATTTCCGCATGTATGCGGACGACACCCAACTCTATTTTTCCACCTCACTTTGCGACTCCCAGGCCCCTGATGTTCTGTCAGACCTCAGGGGCTGGATGAGCGCAAATTTCCTTCAGTTGAACGTTGACAAGACGGAAGCGATATTCTTTGGCTCTCGTCAACGTCTAAAATCTCACGGTTCTCACCTCCTCCACCTACCCAACCTCCCCCTAAAACTCTCTGAACCCGTACGCAGCCTAGGCGTCAGGTCTGACCCCCAATTATCCTTCCTCCCCCACATCCGGTCCCTCACCAGCACTGCCTTCTTCCACCTCCGACACATCGCCCGTCTCCGCCAATACCTCTCTCTGAAAGCCGCTGTAACCCTGGTCCATGCCTTTGTCACCTCTCGGCTGGACTATTCTCACGCCCTCCTCGCCGGCCTCCCCTCCACTACCATCCATTAAATCCAGATTATTCAAAACTCCTCCGCCCGTATTCTCACCCGCACCAAAATCCGCTCCCCGATTACCCCGGTCCTTCCCAGACTGCACTGCCTTCAGCCTCTATGCCCCGAGGCTCTGGAACTCCCTTCCTCACTCCCTTCGCCTCGCTCCCTCTCTTCCTATTTTCAGTCTCTGCTGAAGACCTTTCTTTTCGACCGCGCCTTTGGTCACCTTCCTCACCCTCCCCCTGGCTCGGCCCTGGGATCCGTTACTGTGAAGCACTCTGAGATGCCGTCCGGCATGGAGGGCGCTATATAAATCCAAGTTGTTGTTGTTGAAACGCGGCAGCCAATTGCGCACAGCAGTGTCCCAAAACAGTCGTGGATCGAAAATTATCAATTTATTATTGTTTTGTTTTGGAGGGATTATTATTAGGCGTGTGGAGTAAGGAAACTTGCCCAAGGTTTCGCCCTGCCTGGGATTGAACCCGGGTGTCTCGCTTGCAAGGCGAGTGCTCTAACCACTGAGCTACAGGACTCCAGGACTTGTTGATTCCGCATTCACAAAATGTGGGAAATTATCATGTCTCCACGGGCAATTGAGTACTGAAAGTTTTCTCTCATGAAAAAGGAACCAGGTGGCCACTGCTGGTATCTGTGCTTCAGAAGGCAGAGTATGTTTTTAAGTCAGGTTCAGTGAAATGGAGGGGGCACTTTTCAATGATTGATTAATTAATTGATGCCCTAACCCCTCCAAAGGCAAAGGTATAACTAATGAGACTGCACCATAATGACAGGACATCTCCTGCTCACTCTTTCTGGGGGAAGTGATACAGCCTTCGAGCAGGACCCCACGCTGAATTCTGTGTGTGACACTAGGAGCCCGAAGTGTTGGGAACACATTAAAATGAAGCGGGGAAATGTCTCTTTTTTAATCAAAGGTCACAGATTTTTTTTTAAAAAAAGCTATTTGCCCTTTGACTTTCTTGGGTCAGCTAGCACCTCAGCCCATTCCCCAATGAGAGACCAAACAGCAGACCTTCTCCAAAGCCATCAATGCTTTTTTCCCCCAAATCAGCTAGGATGAACAAAGCCATTTTTAAAACTGTAACTACCTAGAACAAATGAATTCTCAACTTTAACGAGACAACAATTAGGGAGCCTTTATGGACTCTGGAGAGGAAATATCCTGTTTCTGATCTCCTGTGTATGGGGACCCTTGTGAGAATAGACCAATTCACAGCTGTGATGCTCACCCACAACTATTTAAATACTGCAACCACACGTGAAGAAGAGAACCTCAGAGGGCACCTGGCACCAGTGGATCTGTGATCCTGCCTGAAGATTGGAGAGGAAAGGGGAGACAACTGGAAGGAAAATTTGAGGAGAAAAAAAATACAATGAATATAGAGGAAAAATAACATGTATTTGTCCTTCAGTTAAAAAAATTGTACATTATATAATTAGTCCTGAACGTAAATACCTTCCAGGATAAAAATGCATCCATTAAGTAGCTTTCTTCATGTGTGAATATGGAAAGTGAGTGGTTGTGGTCTGTGTGACCAGGAAATGCTGAGGTTTGACTGATCCCATCCTTACTCGTGCGTGTGCCCTCCCTACACAACCCCGTGTGTGTAACTGCAGCGTACGTGTAACTGCTGTATATGTGTGATGAGCTTGTTTAGTGTTTAGGTCATAGCTCATCAACGATAGGAGATTTCCGCCCCCACCCCTGCAAGACTTTACATTGGTAGACATTACGTCTTTTTAGTATAGAAGATTTGCTGCACATTTATCTAGTTTGTTCAATCTTTTCTCTTGCAGTTTTCATTTGTTTTTGTACAACTTGAGCAGATTTTAAAACCTTGTTGTATGATATAGTAAGATTGATGAATGGATAAGTTAAGTTACCTCATAACACCGTCCTGAACAAAGAAAAGCTGACTCTTAACCAGCAAAGCACTGCACTGAAGTATTTCAGAATATTATTAACGAAGTGTCCTCTTGTGGGGACCTTCAGTTGATTTATTGTACAGTGTTTGTTGAATGTGCAATCTTCATTCATTGAAAGCTTTTCTTCCCCACTGTATTTCACTTTTGGTCGATCATAGGACCAACGCTATGAAGAGCTGTCTTGATAGATGTTTCAAGTAGCCTTTTTGTCTGTTTGGAAATGCATAACATGATGCCATGAATCTTATTGAAATGCATCATTGTACAACTTGCAGTGATAAAAATAATGTTTGCTTCCCCTGAATCTTCCCCTTCATGAATCAAAGGGTTTGATGAATAAACTGACTTTTTCAAAAGGTTGATTGTGAGAGTGAAAACTGCTGCCTTTTCAATGGCATTTTGGTGTATTATCATGCTCTAGACCCTTGTAATACGCACTACATGTAAACTGAGTTTTGTCAGTCAATCACTTTTTCAATTACGTAATTAAGGGCATCTATAATTGTATCCATACACAAGTTTTCACATGGTTTACCAAGGATGCATAATATGCTTCATTTGCACATGGCTTGCGTACAATAGACCCCAGATGTTAATGATGTGTTGTATATTGTATGCCATATCATCACCATCAATATCCACAGCTTGCAGTTGTATAGTGCTCTTCATGTTGGGTAACTTCTCAGAGGCTTTACAATGACGGGGTTGGAGGCTGAACAACAAGGGGAAGGTGGCCATAGGTGTGTTTTGAAGAGGTAAGTTTTAAAGTGTGTTTAATGACCGATAGGGGTGGCGGGGTTGGCGCAGAGGTCGCGTAGGAGCCTGGCAGAGTTGATAGCATTCATTTTTGAGTCGGAATGTTTTGGGTTCAATCCTTACGTTAGGACTCGTAGTCTAGGCTGGCACTCCATGAATTGCTGGGAGAGCACTGCATTGTCAGAGGTGCTGTCCTTTGTATGAGACATTGTAAAGATCCCATGGCATTATTCAAAAATAGAAAGGAGTTTCTCCCGGTGTCCTGGACAACAATCTCCCAGATAAGGTTGGATATTCCCTCCATGACTATTTATGGAACATTCTTGTATGCAAATTGACTGCCACATTTGTGTAGAGAAATATATAGTGACTAAACTTTACAGTAAATCCTGTGAAGCACTTTGAGACTTCCTCCTGGTGTGAAAGGATCTAAATCAAATGTAAGGATTATTAGTTGTGTTTATTGAAATTTGAAAATGCAACCTAGTATTTCTTCAAATTTAAACTTGTCTAGCTAGGTCAGTGGTGGGCAACTTATGGCCTGTGGACCGCCAAACATTTACACTTGTCTACGTAAGTCCCTGTTGAATCAGTAGCATTTCCGTTTATTCTTGATTGAAATTTTCTTGATTGATGGCATAAAACAGTGTGGCTATAATGAAATTGGATTTAATCTTTTGTTCAATGCTGATCTGGCCCAATCAATGTACCTTGTTTACTGCCTCCTAAATGGAACATGTACATTGATTAGCTAACCCTGTAGCTGAAACAACTGATCATTTCACTCTAAACCAGCCCACATACCTAAAATTATGCTGGTCGAAGTCAATTAGGTGAATTCTAGGCAAAAGGAATTTAAACAATTGATTTACTTTCTCTTGTATAAAAATAAATCTGGAATTGTAAAATATCAAATTACAGACAAATCATAACTAATCATTTAAACTGAGAAAAATTATGCTGCAGATTTAGTTAGTGGTTACTTAACTTCAGCTATGGCCAAGGGAATTGTAAACATACGTCGTATTATTGCAGTGTAATAACGTGTATGGCAATAGCAATAAATCATTGCATTGGTGATTGGATGAAGTACAATTGCACATTGAGGAATAGTTCACATGGTAGTACATGATGTTGAACAGCGAATTGAGCATTCACTTCATATCTGATGGTGGGACATTGTGTGCAAATTGGCTGCTGTGTTTGCTTGAGAAATATACAGAACAGACACTTTACAGTAAATTCTGTGCAAAGCCCTCCCAATTTGAAAGGCTTTATATTAAATGAAAATATTATTTAACTTACATTTATATTGGTGTGTTTCATGTCAGAAGACTGTTTCAAAATACTTTGGAGACACTGACTGTGAGCTCGAGTTGGCTGAGGAGAGTTGGCCAAAAGCACAGTGAAATAAATGAGTCTTTAGGTGTCTTTAGTGCAAAAGGGGAGGAGGTGAGGCGGAGGGACTTTGGAAGAGAGATCAAGGAGAGGAACAAAGTAGCTGAAGGCTCATCCACTGATGGTGGGGCAGAATGGATGAGGGATGTGGAGCAGGGCAGAGTTGTTGACTGAACTGTGCCCTTGTGGACGGTACTAAATGGACAGCAAGTATTTCACCACCTCCTTAAGGTCTCGGTCAGTAGGAGGGTGAATATTCTCTAGACTGCTCTCATATGTCCTAGTTATCTGGCTGAAATAATACAACAGTTTTACATTTACAGTACCTTTCACATCAGGGGACATCTCAAAGCACTGAACAAGCACTTTAACCTGGAAGTCCAAATTGAGGGTGGGGAAAGCAGCGGTAGCTGAGAAATGTGGGGTTGGGAGAAGATAAGCAAAGTGCAGTTGGAAAGAAAGGTTATAAAGAGGGCGGAGGAGGTGTAACATTGATTCAGTCCTCGAAGCAGGGGCTCTCCAAGCAAGAGCTGGCTGTTGGGCCAGGTGACTGGGGAAAAGGTGAGAAAAGAATTTGTGGGAAAAATCTATTGCCATCCTCATAGTAAACAAATTACAGTCAGGTTTTCAATGAGTATTCAATAATGTAGTGGAACACTTGTGTCATCTCAAATTTGAAGCAAAGCACACTGCCCGAGTGTGTGTCTGTATTAAGGAAATAGGGAAAGGGCAAGGAAATGGGATTAGAATAGATAGTTTTGATAGGGGTGCGAATATTAGCACAGACACAATAGGCTGAATGATAGCCTCCTCCTGAGCTGTAAATGTTCCATGAGTCAATGATTCTACGTTCAATTATTTTCCATTATGTAATACAAACCACTCAATGCAATTATTGCTGAACATTGAGTATTTCTGTGTAGGAATGGTCCTTCTGAAGCTCTAAATTCCTTTCAAGGGTCCACTTCAAAAACATATCTGAAAATGTGAAACCATGTGTTTGATGTAAATGCACAAAAGCCCAAAGCCCTCTCGGACTATACCTAACCTGGTTGTTGGTACTTAACTAATCAATATTGAATCCTACAGAGAGAGCTTCCTGTAATGGATGTTGAATAGATTGACTGCTGGTTTTCAAAATTCCCAGTGTTTACAGAGGAGGAGGCATTTAAAACCAAATAAACCAATTTATTTAAACGATAAATAGCTTATCTTTCTAGAGTTAGGTATTTCTGTGTTGAACCATCATTTATGAACTTGACACAATTCTCAAGAGACCATTGACCTCGTCATTAACCTCTGGTATGCAGAATCTCCTTGGAGCTGAACTGGCTCCAAGGTGCCATGCCTGGCAATGGAATGTTGGATCGATCCAGCCCTCTGTGGTGATCTCAGTAGTCCAGTTCCTGAGCCAAACGGGTCCACAGTATTCCAGGGCGCTGTTGATGACAGCACAGCGAGCCTGACTAATTGTCAGGACCTGAAAGGGCAGCCCAGCCACTGGGGGCAGGGAGTCATCCCACTCAGCTCCTGTTAACCCTTAAAGCCAAAGCCCTAAGTGTACTTTGGTCCAAGCTGGACAAGCAGTGGAAAAGCTGGCCAGACAGGAATATCAATGGCAAGCTGTGCGGTTTTAGCTGGTTAGACTACAGCAGTTACCCCAATGCACACTGGAGCCCCCAAGCCTTGGCTCTTGCCAACCTGCGCCTAATACTTTCCCGAATTAGGTGAGCAGGATGTGTCTCTCCAAGGAGAGAGTGCATATTCCATTCCAACAATCTCTGGGATTTCCATGTGTCGGTGGGATGCATGCGAATCTCAGCTTGGTTTGGATACACTTATGCATGGTGATGGGTTTCTGTATGTGTCAGACATCCAGCTGACAAAAGAAGTTAATTGACATCTGAATATAAACAATTCCACTTAGTTTTTTTATTTGATGCCAATTGAATCTTAGCTATACATGTTGAAATACATGATAAGTGCTAGAATGTCACATAATACGTGCATTGCTATTGCAATATGCACCAACACAACACTGAAGACTCCCTTCATCATAAAATCAAAGTACCTACATTATTTGCATGAGAATCTCTTATTCACTGGTTCCCAATACTAATTGAAATCTGAGATTTTTGTCCAGTCCAGTTCCAGTCTCTGTTTACTTTGAATATTGCTTATTGTAAATCAACCCGAATGGTCCTTGATTTTAATGATAAACCTTGCATTTGATATGGTGCCTTATTACATTGTTGAGATCTCAAATCACTTCTCAGGATTTTACTGTGAAATATAGCAATTGTGTATTTGCAGACTAAACATGGCAGCAAATTTGTCTGCAGCAATGTCCTACAAACAGCCATGAAGTGAATGATGAATCATGTCTGAAGGATTGTTGGCTAAGACATCAGAAACTCCATTCTTTTTTCAAATATTGCCATGGGGTCCTTGAGGTCCATCTGAACAACCAGATGGGACCTTTGTTTAACATCAGAGAATGTCAGCAAGACCGAGGCCCTCCTGATTGGCTCACGTCAGCACCTCCGCACCTCTGGCACTGGCAGCATCAGCATCCAAGGATGCACACTCTACCTCACCGAGCCATTCAGGAATCTAGGCATCTTGTTCAACCTTCAACTGTCCTTTCTCCCCCACATTTGTGCCATAACCCGCTCTGCCATTCCCCACCTCCACAACATCGTCCGATTCCGCCACTGCCTCACCCCTTAGGCCGCCAAACCATCATACACGCCTTCATTACAACCAGGCTCGACTATGCCAATGCCCTGCTTGTCAGCCTTCCCAACTCTTCCTTCCAAAAGCTGCAGAACTCTGCAGCTCGTGTCCTCTCCCGTACCAGGTTCCGTGACCCCATCACTTTCACCCATGCCCGGCTCCACTGGCTCCCCATCCGTCAGAGGATCAAATTCAAAATTCTCGTCCTCACCTTCAAGGCCTTCCATAGCCTTGCCCCCTCTTACGTCTCTGAACCTGTCCGCTCCCTCCCCTCAGCAGCCTAGACTATGAGCCCGGTGTGGAGTTTGAATCCACAACCTTTTGACTCTGAGGTGAAAGTGCTATCAACTGAGCCAGGTTGATGCCTTTATGAGCCAAATGTCACTCATGGGACATGGAAGAGTAGAAACAGTGCTGTGCGCTAAAACTAGGATTTTTCCCAAGCCCTGTGAAATCCCAGCAGCATAATGTTGATGTTCACCTCAGTTTATTCTGAAGTGATGTGGACTAGGTAAAGTGGATTTGGATTGCGCCTGCTAGAATTTTTTTTAATGAAGTATTTTTAGTTCTCTTTACATCTAGAAAGAAATTTTGCGATGAATGTTTCTGAATAGTACCCAAATCTTTCTGCCTACTCATTCTCTTGTGAGTAACACCACCATGGAATCGACTTCCTTGGAGCATAGGACTTCTGTTGCTGTCAAAAATGTTTTTTTTTGTGTGTGTGGGTGTATCACACAGGAGGATACGTGTCATTCTGTGACCTCTGTGAAAGGAAATGACTATTTTTGGCCAGCAGAAGAAACTAACAGACTGCCACAGAATTTTGATCTGAAGAAAATCTCCACCCATTACTAAACTGGATAGCAGTGCAGAGGAGCACAATTCATATGTGCAGGGTAATGCACCCACATGTGGCATCTTGGTTCCATTGCAACAGTTAGAATATAAGTTTGCAGAAAACCCTTGAATCTGATCCCTGCTAATGGCCTGAGCTCTTTATTTCCTATTCTAGGTCACAGATATGCGCTCTTTTTGGGGGAAGAGAAACGTAGATGGAATTCCTGTGCTGAAGAGACTTTGCCATCAAAGTAAATTCCAAACTTGACTAGAAGACAAGATAGAAAGGTCTTCAAAATAACACTAGACAAGAAAACATTTACATGGAGCAACAAATATCTGGTAAGTTTAATGGTTGGTTCCTCCTCCAATACATTCAAAATAGTTGCCAAAGTGCACTAACTATAAGTTAATTATAACAAAAGTCTTGTGATACATACAGCTCTTTATAAAATAGTTCCCAATTGCACTTTGCCTTCATATGTTTCTTACAAATTTACGTCTGCAACTAGTCTTCAGCTCCAATTAATTTGTCTGCAAATATTAGTTTGTCTATTGTACATTTTTGTCTTAACAGCTGCAGCATTGTCATCCATCCAGTTCCACTCCATTCACCGCTGAGTCCATAAGTAATTTTGAACACATCCATGAGCTACCAGACAATGAAAAGCCCACTGACCAGAAGAAATTGTCTGGTCCAAGCATCCACCCTCGAAGAGGAATACAGTCAGCTGTTTGACATAGAACAAACTTGTCCTCTGGAATATCTGCCTGGAGGTACTTCAAACATTCTGGAGGATCTACATTGGCTGATGGGAGAATATGGGACTAGTATTGCTTTATTTCCCTCAATAACCTACATCCTTTCAGAGGAGAGTATACGCATCTGAAACAGGCACTGGCAATGATCTGGGCCAAAAGAAAAGTGCGGAAATATTTGCCTGAAAATGTGGGGGAGTTTGCCAGATTTTATGGAAAATTGCAGGGGGTTGATTGGTGCTATTGAGGTACATTTTGCTGCCAACCTACATTTTTTCGCTTTATTGTTAAAAACTAAACATGAGGAAATCAACACATATTAAATTGTTGCAATTTTTAAAATTAATTTCTTCTTTAACAAAACTGTGTGGCCCATTTTGGGGTGGTGATGGGGGCGCGGAGGGACACCAGTGCAGGCTGTGGGGCCTGGAGATCCACCAAAAAACAGACACTCGGAACCAGTGTCCTGACTCCGGGGCTATAGGAGCTCACCACCTCCTGCCTCTAAAGGGCCCAGCACTGCACACAGACACAGAGACAAAGACCCAGAGAGAAACACACAGACACAGAGAGACACACATTCTCAGAGAAACAGACACACACACACTCATAGATGCAAAGAGACATAACACACACACACACGCAGAGGAGAGAGAGAGCCAAATCCACACAGAGACACCCATAAACCCACACACATATTGAAGACACAGACACACTCACAAGCACATACATATACATACACGCATGCAAGCACGCACGCGTGTGCGCGCACACACACACATACATAGAGAGGAGAGACAGACACACCCATACAGAGACGTTTACAAACACACACATACAGAGGAGAAAGACGCACTCACAAACACAGAGGGAGAGAGCCACACACAGACACTGGGCATGCACATCTGGAGCGGTGCCGCGCACAGTAACGTCGAATAAACAGCGCAAGAGGCTCGGGAGCAGAAACTAGACTTTTTAGTGATTTTAATAGTGGAGGGCGGATATAAGCAGATTCCGAGGAAAGATTGTGGCTGCACTTATCTATTGGCACAGGCAATGACTAGATACCTGTAACTTTGGTGTCATGTCAGTTATAAAATACATTGGATCCTCAAAAACCTTCCCTGGACCCATCCCTTCTCTCAAATTACCGTTCCACCTACAACCTCCTTCCTTTCCAAGGTCCTTGAACAAGTTGTTGCTTCGCTCCTTCCTCTCCTCACAAAACCTCCAATCGGATTTCCGCCCACAGCACAGAAACAACTTTGGTCAAAGTCACTAATGATATTCTATCTCCTCATCCTCCTTGATCACTCTATCCTCCTTCACCACCTCTCTCACCTCAACCTTCATTGGAGTCCTGTAGCTCAGTGGTTAGAGCACTCGCTTTGCAAGCGAGAGACCTGAGTTCAATTCCAGGCAGAGGGCGAAACCTTGGGCAAGTTTCCTTACTCCACACGCCTAATAATAATCCCTCCAAAACCAAAAAAAAAATAATAAATTGGTCATTTTCAATCTACGACTGTTTGTGGGACATTGCTGTGCGCAATTGGCTGCCGCGTTCGCCCACAAATATACAGTCAATTCACTTTACAGTGTGTGCTGTGAAGCGCTTTGGGACGTCCTCCCGACGTGAAAAGCGCTATATCAAATGCAAGGATTATTATTATTATTATTCATGGCTCTGTCCTTGAATGGTTCAGATCCTACCTGTCACACCGTCAGATGTATAATTGACTAATACAGTAATAAACAATAAAGTTATTTAATCTATTCAATTTCACAAAATACCTTAGACTTTTTTGGAGGCAACAGTTATTGTTTTTACTTTTCAGTAGAATATTAATATTTTCCTGTAATATGTTTCTAGTTATTGAAGTAAAAGCTATTTCTTCTTGCTCTCGTCTCCAATGTCATCTTTTCCTCCTCCAAGACAGCCGTTTCGGAATGTACCATTGAAGTTGCCTTTCCTATCTTCAAGGGTCTAGGTAGCAGTGGAAACTCCCACCATGAGCCCAGGAAACATGTTAAGAAGCAACAAGCTACAGGTTGTTACTGTATTGGGTTTTCATGATTTGCTCTCACTCACTAGTTCATTTGCAGTTCCTGTAGGTGAACGCCTCTCTTGCTCTTTGCAGTAAGAACACTGCGCTTTGGCTTACACTGGATATTTACCCTGATTGTAATTAGCTGTTGGATACTGTCTGTCTGTTAGGGTGGCTTGAAAGGGTGGCCATTACAACATTTCAGAAGTTAACCATGATTTTTCTACAAAAGTTCAATTGCCAAAAGAATTATAATAACAATAGGCAAAATGCTAAAGGTCATAATACTAGAAAATAAAACAATTGTTCTTAAAGTTTTAATTTACCCTTTTCCCCCCTCCCCAGCTCGGCCTGAAAACCTTCCCCCACCTCACCCACCCCCAGCTCGGAGTCAGGCTCTGCCACTGCTAAATGCTCCGAGATGGTACATTGCATGGAGGGCGCTATATAAGTGCAAGTTATTGTTATTTTTTCCACATTCATTTTTCACACAGGGCTGTCTTGGTTATAGGTGATACCCAGCCTATTTGGCTGTACTAAAATACAGCAGTGTTGAGTTACATGCTTACCATTCCTCTACATCAATTCTTGGTGCCTCTACACACATCACTAGAGAAAGGTAGCTCACGTTTGCTACATTATTTTTGTATATTTTTAGTGTAACGCAGTGCCAAAATGTTTTGGTTCATGTTCAAGTGTTGTTTGCCTCCAGATCTGTGCAACTTCTGCCCCTCCCCACTCAAAATTTTGCCCACAAAATACACAGTCATTTTACTTTACAGCATATTCTGTGAAGCGCTTTGAGACGTGTTGAAGATGTGATAAAGCGCTATGTCAAATGCAAGTATTATTATATTATTAAATATTAGCATAATTACTGTTTTGAAATGCCTGCTGTAAAACGTTTACTGCTCTGTAAATTTGTGTTGGAAACTGCAAGCTCAAGTAAAGTTAAACACTGGTCAAAGCATGCTTGAGGGATTATTTTCCACTCGACAATTTAACATGTGGGCCTGATTCATATGTTTTTCTTCTTAAATTTAATTACATTGTGGCATTAAGATTTTAAATACACAATGTCAATGGTTATTTCTTGCATGATAATCATTTAATTACCTCTGCGACCTCCTAACTCCCTACCAACCCTCCGCTCAGCCGGCTCTGCCCTACTCCACATCCCCCGACCCACCCGCCCCAACATTGGTGGGAGAGCCTTCAGCCACTCTGCCCCCAACCTCTGGAATTCCATCCCCCAGTCACTCCACCTCGCTCCCTTCTTAGCCTCCTTCAAGTCCCGCCTCAAGACCCTCCTCTTCGACCATGCATTGGCCATCCCCCTTCCCCTCCCATCCCGCCCCCCTGACCCCAGCTCGGGTCTGAAGTGCTGTACACTGTCCAGCGCCCTGGGACGTCCTCCTGATGTGAAAGGCGCGATACAAATGTAATCTTGGTGTTGTTGTTAATGTGAAAATTAATCAAAATAACCATCCTTGTATTTGAAATGCCTTATCACTTCAAAGTCTAAAGAGCTTCAGAGAGTTTTCTGTAAATTTTCAAGCAAATTGCAGTTTCTGAATTTGTTTGATAGAGTCGATGGGGAGTTTGTCAACCCTGAAAAATTAAGTGCCAAGTTTAAAATCAAGAACAAGTGAACTACATATATAGAGACCGGTGAGTATGTGGAGTAGACTAATCCGGTGAGGCAGTAGAGCCAAATTATGAATTAGATTGCTATTTGGTAACAAAGCTGTATGATAGAGAGAATAATGTGGGATTATTTTGTTCTACTTCATATCTTTACCCATGTGGTAATTAATGACCAGAATGGGTTACTGAGAAGGGTGGTTGAGGCCAGAACGCTGGATGAGTTTAAGAAACAGCTTGATGCTGTAATGGGAAGATGGTTCTGTGTTACCATGTATTCAGATTTCTACTTGTTTTTCAACTTTTTAAAGATCAGAGTTTTCCGAGTTATTTCTGAAAAGCTATTTCAATGAGATTTATTTTAAGATCCAGATTAAAAGGCATAAGGCAAAGAGCAATAGCTCTTGGAGAAATCAGTTTAATTATTTTTTGCCTGAGCTCATTTGGGTATTGACATTTTACCGCTTGCGTAAATTGCAAAAGAGATTCAATATGTGGGTTCAGATTTCTAATGATCTGACCCAAATAATCAAAGATGTGCAGATTTATTCATGGAAAAAGCTAATTTTCTTTTTTGCTCATTGAAGTGCTATTCCTGTTATTTTGTATACCACTCATATAACAGGTGGTCCAATTTTGTGGAGCTCTTTAACGAGTGTAATTTGAAGCAAGAACTAACTAAAAGATGATCAATAAAATCTGTTGACTCCATGCAATCTATTAAACAACAACAACAAGATTACATTTGTATAGCGCCTTTCACGTTGGGAGGACGTCCCAAGGCGCTGGACAGAGTACAGCATTTCCGACCCGAGCTGGTGTCAGGGAGGGGAAGGGGGGTGACCAATGGCATGATCGAAGAGGAGGGTCTTGAGGCGGGACTTGAAGGAGGCTAAGGAGGGGGTGAGGTGGAGTGATTGCGGGATGGAATTCCAGAGGTTGGGGGCAGAGTGGCTGAAGGCTCTCCCGCCAATGGTGGGGCGGTTGGGTCAGGGTATATGGAGCAGGCCAGAGCCTGATCTACGGAGGGAGTGGGCAGGTTGGAAGGGGGTTAGGAGGTCGCAGAGGTATGGTGGGGCGAGGCCATGGTGGGCTTCGTAGGTGAGGACCAGGATCTTGAACTGGATCCTCTGAAGGATAGGGAGCCAATGGAGTCGGGCGAGAATGGGAGAGTTGCGGTCATGGAGTTTGGTGTGGGAGAGGACACGGGCTGCAGAGTTAACATAACATAACATGTAGGAGCAGGAGTAGGCCATTCGGCCCTTTCAAGCCTGCCCCGCCATTCAATCATGGCTGATCTTCTAATCTAACTCCAGCTAATAACGTAGCTGGAATAAGAATAACCTAGCTTGCAATAAGAAATCTATCTATCTCAGTCTTGAATATGTTCAAGGAATGAGCGTCAACAGCCCTTTGGGATAGCGAGTTCCATACATTCACCACCTTTGAGTGAAGAAGTTCTTCCTCAACTCAGTGCGAAACTCTGATTTTAAGGTTGTGACCCCTGGTTTTAGTTTCTCCAACAAGGGGAAACCATCTCCCACTATCTACTCTATCATGCCCTTTGATAATC